GTCTCTCGCTGTCACTGTGGGCACTTGGCCAGGGCTGCAAGGCCTGCGGATGCCATCGCTGCCTTTCGGGGAGCCGGCGTGCCAGACTGGGGCTGCAGGTCTGGAGGAAATCAGACCAGCCCAGGACCCCTCAGCCAGCTCTGAACACAGGATGGGCATCGTGCCTGTGCGTTAAAGAGATTTCTGCCTCGTGTGTCTCGTAGTAAAAACAAACATCAAAGAAGGTAAGAATTTTCTTTCTGGCCTGAAGTAGAAAGGAATGAGACTATGAGGGCAACAATCTTATGTTTTTACCCAGGAAGTAAATATAGGTTTGGTCTGGGGACAGAGGTCAGAAAAGCTCTTCTGTTATCTCATCAACTCACCCACATGGGGTCTTTGCTGCCTCTGTTGCTGGGTGTCCAAGATCTGGGTGACCGAGCCAGATCTCCATTATGTGGGCTCACTCAGTGGACGGATAAACACTTAACTACGTGCGTTTAAAAGGATAATGTCAGGCATGGATGCTGCTGTCAGATCCTAGAAGGACGAGCCTCACCTGCACAATGTAGACACGCTGGTCGCCTGGAAAGATGGCTCATCTGGGGTCACCCCCAGCAGGAGAAGCGGTTCGTCATTACCAACACTCTGAGGCTACATCGAGCTCATTTTCCTTGTCTGATCTTCCAAAGTTTTCATGTTTTTAGTGTTTCCCTTCAGAGTTATTTTACTTCCCTTTTTATTTTTCCTAGTGACTTCCAAATGTTCTCTGCCTGTATGTGGATGGCTTCGTCTTCTCTTAAGCAGCCATATGTGATTGATACCTGTTTAGTCAGAGCCGCTTTCTAATTTTTTTCTTATATGTAAAAGTTTTAGATAAATATTATTTATTGGTTTTTAATTGTAAAAATTATAGTAGAAGTATATAAGTTAAAAATGAAAATCTCTTACCCAACCTTATTCTCCAGCGATAATCACTATGAATAATTTGGTGTATACTCTTTGGTTTTTTATACACTTACCCACTTTGTTTTTATACAGATGAGATCATGTTAAACATACTCTTCTGCAATTTGCTTTTCTTCATGTAACAGTATATCTTGGAGACTTTTTTTTTTTTTTTAGACAGAGTCTCACTCTCTTGCCTGGACTAGAGTGCCGTGGCATCAGCCTAGCTCACAGCAACCTCAAACTCCTGGGCTCAAGTGATCCTCCTGCTTCAGCCTCCTGGGTAGCTGGGACTACAGCCATGGGCCATCATGCCTGGCTGATTTTTTCTATTTTTAGTTGTTTGGCTAATTTCTTTCTATTTTTAGTAGAGATGGGGGTCTCGCTCTTGCTCAGGCTGGACTCGAACTCCTGAGCTCAAAACGATCCACCTGCCTTGGCCTCCCAGAGTGCTAGGATTACAGGCATGAGCCACCGCACCCGGCCTATCTTGGAGACTTTTTCATACAATTACATTTAGATTTACTTTTTCCTTTGTCATGGCAGAATACTATCCTGTTGTTTTTAACGCACTGTGATGCATTAAAATATATTTTGTCAATTCTATACCAAGAACTACTTATGGTGCTTTTTATTTTAGGAGGATATTTTAGGAGATTTCTGAGAGTATCAGTTAAGAAGGTTCCTTATCTATGCTTTTCATGATAATGATGAACATTTGCAAAATGCTCATATACAACCTCCCCTCACCCTCCTAACAACCCCGTGATGAAGCTACCATTGTCCACACAGGGGAGCCCCAAGGCGGGGATCACATGCGTCTTTGCCCTTATAGCGATAGCTGGGTCCTCCCTAGCCCTGCCAAATGATGTCCATACATGAAAACACATCCTTTCTGTCCTCAGTGCTCCAGAGTTACAGCTGGATGTGCTGCCCGGTGGGAGGCTGCACGGCCTTCAGCTCGAGTGTTGTTCCCAATAGTTTATTGGCCCAGGGCAGTTATCACTTCCTCACTCTGCAGCAGACTCATATTTCCATCTCCAACGGCTTTTTTATACGGTAGATGACGGACAAGATCATCCTACCTGCCACCATTTTTGTATTTATAAATTGATAAGAAACAAGGTGGCTAAGGGCAAAAGATTTATTCAGTAACAACCCTTGACTCAACAAGAATCGGTGTCCGTCCTGTTGGTTCATGCTGCACTGGAATAGCATGTCTTTTGCTGTCTCCTAAATTTGATCCAGGGATGTGTTTTTGATTGTTGATATTTTAAAATAAATATGAATTGGCCAAGTGTGGCGGCATGCGCCTATAGTCCCAGCTACTCAGGAGGCTGAGGTGGGAGGGTCGTTGAGCCCAGGAGTTGGAGGCTGCAGTGAGCCATGATCATGCCACTACACTCTAGCCTGGGTGACAGAGCAAGATCCTGTCTTTAAAAATAAATAAATAAATAAGATTGATTCAGTCCATCAACATATATTGAAGTTTTACTGTTTACTAAGTGCTAAAAATATATTACCTATTATCCTTGAAAATATATAAATGAGAAAACTCAGTCTCTGGGAGTTTAAATACCCAAGAGCTAGTGAGAAGCTGAGCTGGAATTCTCACCCATATCTGTGTACTTCCGGAATCCAAATACTCTTCTATACACAACTCAGCGATGTAGGCAAGCTACCGATGTGCCAAAGCAAGTCGTGAGTCATCGATGGGCTCAACCACTGCTGAAGTCCTTCCTAGTCATAAAACTGTGTGAGTCCAAGGGGGAGGTTGGTTGATCATGATGGCTTCCCACTCAATCCCATACTTAGATTCTGGTTTTATGACATGGCATAGAACTGGGAAACATTTTGCACACACACAAAAGATCATAGTCCTTTTTTCTTTAGTTACGTATTCAAAATAAGCTAACCCAGTAGAAGCAAGGTGAGTCTTTAATTTTGATTTGCAAAGAAAAAGATAACTTTCTGACAATTCCCAATACCGTAACCTTCAAAAATAGGGAAGGGAGGGTGGGATAGAAGTGAGATAGGAGAAAAAATAAAGAAGCGGAATCCCGCCTTGATGTTAAGTCAGTGTATCTCACATCGCTTCCTGAAGCAGAGCTGGGGAAAGAGTCAGCTTTGGTGTATAAGAAGAAAGGTGGCATAACAATCCAGCAGTCCCAGTACTGGGCATGTGTCCAAAGGAAATGGCTTCAGTCTGTCAAAGAGACAGCCGCACTCTATGTTTATCGCAGTGCTATTCGCAATAGCCAAGGTACGGAATCAACCTGTGTGCCCCTCGGTCGATGACTGGATAAAGAAAATGTGGTACATACACAATGGAATACTGTTCATCCACAAAAAGGATGAAATCCTGTCACTTGCAACAACATGGATGAGCCTCGAGGACATTATGTTAAGTGAAATAAGCCAGGCACAGAAAGACAGCAACTGCGTGATCTCACGTATATGTGGAAACTAAAAAAATCGATGTCATGGGAGTCAAGAGTGGAATGGTGATTGTGCGGAGACTGGGGAAAATGGAGCAAAGCAGGAGAAAGGTCAGTTAATGGGTGCAAAGTTACAGTTAGATAGAAGGAGTAGGTTCGGGTACTCTGTTGCACAGTGGGGTGACTACAGCTAACAATAAAGCACTGTATATTTCAAATATCTAGACGAGAGGATTTTGAATGCTCTAAGCACAAAGAAATGATCAATGTTTAAGGCGATGGATATGCTGATTACCATGATTTGATCACAGAGTGTATACCCGTATTGAAATATCTCATGCACCCCATAAATGTGCACAATTATGATGTGTCAATCAAAAATAAATAAATGAGGCATAAAGTTTATTCAATTAATATTTGTGGAATCCCTAGTATGTTTCAGGCAGGCACTGAGCTAAATCCTGGGCATGAGACGGCAAATTTGCTCCCAGTCTTTGCTCTGAAGGAACTCACAGTCTAGTGGTAGAGAGACAGAGACAGGGTACTGCAGTGCGGTGTTGCATGGTAGAGTTGGAACAGGACACACGGGAGCTCAGAGGAGGGCACGTCAAACAGGCCTCCGTAAAGAAGGCGATGCCTACAGTGAGTCAGTGGCCAGCCAGGTGAGAAGTTGAATAGGAAGAACATTTCAGGTAGGAGCAAAAACACGAAGGTCGTGGTAGTTAAAGAGCAGAGTTTGAAGAGAGGAGAGAAGAGAGATGAGGCTTTGGGGAAGGTGGGTTCTGTTTGGGGTACAGGAGTCTGAGACCCCTCAGTGAAAGGGCTTAGCAGGACGCTGGGCAGATGGGGCTGAAGTTTCGGGATCATCTGGGATGAAGGTGTAGATCCGAGAGGTGAGAAGTGATAGTTGAAACTGTGGGAGTTAATTAAACCATCCAGGGAGCATATACAGAGTTAGATGAATAGATGTTTGAGACTAGAATGCAAATAAAAATGAACATTTCAGGGACACACAGAGGAAGATGAGCTCAAGAAAGAGAATGGAGAGGTGAGTCCCGCATCGCAGGAGCCGAAGGGGCAGAGTTGAATCAAGGCATGGCCTGCGGAGACGGGTGGCCTTGCCATTCTGGAGAGTGGGCATTGCAAAGATGGAGTATTGGAGACAGCAGTTTGGAAGGTTTTGATCAATAGTGAGGATGAAAAGGTGAATTTTAGAGGAAGTAAGGAGAAAATGTGTAGTCCGCTCTTGAGAGAAGTCTGGATGGGAAGAGAAGAGAGGTCAGGTGGCAGCTGGCGGGATACGACTCCTGAAGTCAGGGAGCAGGAGGAGGGATGGCTTTGAGAATGCAAGAGAAGAGACTTCAGTATGTTTCCAGACTGAAAGGTGAAGCCAGTAGAAGGTTGAAAACAGGAGAGATGGGGAATGACAAACGGAACTGTCAGGAGGAGACACCTTGTCCTCTGAGACAGGACGGGTGGGGAAGACGCTGTCACACGAGTCATGGACAGTTTGGTCCGCTTGAACTAACGCTCTGCCTGAATCTCCTTATCCAGATCCTTCTTCCTTTTGTCAACACACAGCTCGCTGTGGCTGGGACCTGCTGTCTGCTTCCCGCAGGAGCACCGCACTCAGCTATGGGAAGCGGCACCTCCGCCCAACATCACTTTGCTTTTCAGAACGCAGAGAAAGGTATGTGTTTCCCACCTTTGGCTTTTACCCCCAGCTTGGAATTGGGTCTATTAATGTACCAGCGACACTCTCATCACTAAATCTAAAGGGTATATTTGTCATTTGTTGAATATCGCATCTGCGTTGAGGTGGATCATGCTCTTGAAACAGTCTTCTTTTGGTGCGTGCTCCTTGCTTTCCTCTCCCCAGCCCTCTTCGCAGACTCATCCTCATCCTCCCGACGCTTACGTCCTGGTGTCCCTCAGGGCTCTGTCCCAGACCCTGGCCTCTGCTGTCTTTACACTCTCTCTAGGCTACCTCGGGGACCCCCATCGCTGTGGCTACCCTAAACCCCATGTTGCAAGTGGGGGAGCTTCTCGGGGTAGAAGCAGAAAACCATTACATTTCTCCTCATCCCAACTCTTAGAAACCAGCTTCTCCTCCTCATGACGTGGCTACCAGAATGTTCAGCTGAACCATGTTTCCTGAAACAAAATCTGTTCAGCGAGCGAGTGTTGTCCACTGGCGTTTACCCCAAACTGCGCATGTACAAGTGAATGAGATAAGGTTGGGCAAGGAGGGGTCAAACACATTCCAGGCAGGGAGGACAGCCCGGCAAGGGCACACGAGGCAGGAAGGGGGCATGTGGAAGGAACCGAATGCTCCGCATGAGTGGCATGAGATGCAGCTGCTGAGGTGCCCAGAGTCCAGATCACTGGGGACCTTGTAGGATTTTAAACTTTATCCCAAAGGCATGAAAAACCACGGAGGAATTCAAAATAGGAGGTTCTAGAATAAGATTTACATATTTAAAACATTCTTCTGGCATCCGTGAAGGAGGAATTGGAGGGTTAATAGCAGGAGGAAGAAGAGTTTAGAAGCTACGAAAGTTGTCTGAGTAAGAGGTGACGACGCCGGGGTCCAGAGCCGGTGGCAGTGGAGACGGCGAGGAGGGGACGAATTCCACCAGGATTCTGGAGGTGGAATTGACGGGATCCAGCTGATCCGACGTGTGGGGGGAGAGAGAAGGATGAACCAAGAATGACTTTAGGTTTTCGACGAGTAAACTGGGAAGCTGATGGTGCCAACGATTGACGCAAAGGTAATGGAGGAGAACCAGGTTTGACTAGAGGGAGGATGACAAGTGTATGCACCTGGGGCTGAGGTGCCTGGGGGACGCGCAAGTTCAGGCGTGGCGTAGGCAGTTGCGTATTCAGATCTGGGTTTCAGAGGAGGGGTTGGGCTGGACACTCATGTGTTTGGAAAGCACCAGAGTATCAGTGGCTGCTGAAGCGATGGGGGTCCCCGAGGTAGCCTAGAGAGAGTGTAAAGACAGCAGAGGCCAGGGTCGAGGACAGAGCCCTGAGGGACACCAGGACGTAAGCGTCGGGAGGATGAGGATGAGTCCGCAAAGAGGGCTGGGGAGAGGAAAGCAAGGAGCACGCACCAAAAGAAGACTGTTTCAAGAGCATGGTCCACCTCAACGCAGATGAGATATTCAACAAATGACAAATATACCCTTTAGATTTAGTGACAAGAGTGTCGCTGGTACATTAATAGACCCAATTCCAAGCTGGGGGTAAAAGCCAAGTTATAGCCTGGGATGAGGAGTGACGGAGAACATGGCGAAGGCCAGGGTAGCTGCTCACCCTTTGAGAAGTTCAGAGGGGCAGGTTTCTGTGTCAGACGCAGAGGGTCAGTATCACGCAGCATGTGGTCAAAAGCCAGACGGCTCGGGTCAGATCTGTCACTGTCTGAACATCTGAACCTGGAAACTGGCACAGCGTCATTTCCACCGTATTCTCTTGGTCAAAGCGGTCCCGGAATCCACCTAGACTCAAGGGGAGGAGACGCAGACCCCACCTCTTACTGAGAGAAGTGTCAAAGAATTTGCAATCATCTTTAGCCTGCCACGGTTCCAAACTCAAAGCTTCAAAAGGAACATACCTATAAGTAGCTATGTTTTCTTTCTTCTCTACCTATTTTGTTTGTTTTTTTTTTCCTGTAGAGACAGGGTTTCGTCATGTCCCCAGGCTGGAAAGCGGTGGCTATTCACAGGTGCAATCGTAGTTCACTGTGAGCTTGAACTCCTGGGCTCAAGCGATCCTCCTGCCTCAGCCTCCCGAGTAGCGGCCACCACACTTGGCTCATGTTTTCATTTTTTTAGTTTTTGTAGTGACATTTTCTTGTTATGTTCCCCAGGCTGTCTTGGACTCCTGGCCCCAAGGGCTCGTCCTGCCTCGGCCTCTCGAAGTACTAGGATTACAGGCGTGAGCCCCTGCGCCCAGCCGGTTTCCACTCTTTTTCTATTACTAATAGCGCTTACGTAGTCTTGTGCATATATCTTTTCATACTTTTGCCAGTTTATTTTTGTCTTAGACTTATTTTTGGTATAGTAGAAGTGCTGGGCCAAAGGATAAATATTGCATACATGTGTAATTTTGCTAGATGTTACCAAATTCTCCGTCAATAGCATAATCACCAGCAATGTTGTACTAGCTTGCTAACGTTGCCGTAACAGAGCACCATAGACTGGGAGGCTCAGACAACGGAAATTTATTTGTTCACAGTTCTGGAGACTGGAAGTCCGAGATCAGGATGTCGGCAGATGCCGGCGGCCTCCTGGGCCTGTCTCCTGGGCTTGCAGATAAATGCCTCTCCCCGTGTCCTTGCGCGGCCTGTTGTCTGTGTGTGTCCAAGTTTCCTCTTCTTATAAGGACACCAGTCATGTTGGATGAGGGCCCACCCTGACAACCTCATTTTAACTTAATCTCTTCTTTGAAGGCCCTCTCTCCAAATACAGCCACATTCTCAAGTACTGGGGATTAGGACTTCAACATACGAATTTGGGAGGAATTCAGTTCAGCCCATAACAAATGTATGAGAGCATCTGTTTTCTCACAGCCTCGTCAGCAAAGGGTGTGGTCGAATTTCAGATGTATGACCATCTAATAGATAAGAAATGATATCTCATTAGTTTTAATTTCTCTCTCTCTTATTATACGTGAGATTGAACATCTTCGTACATGGTTAAGCCTTGCGTTTTCTCCCCTCAGAACTGTCTATTCTTATTTACCTGTTTTTTCTATAGAATTGTTGTTCTTTTTCTTCTCAATTTTTAGAAGTTCTTTTTTTTTTTTTTGAGACAGAGTCTCGCTCTATTGCCCGGGCTAGAGTGCCATGGCATCAGCCTAGCTCACAGCAACCTCAAACTCCTGGGCTTAAGCAATCCTACTGCCTCAGCCTCCCGAGTAGCTGGGACTACAGGCATGCACCACCATGCCCGGCTAATTTTTTCTATTTTAAGTAGAGACGGGCTCTTGTTCTTGTTCAGGCTGCTCTCAAACTCCTGACCTTGAGTGATCCTCCTGTCTCGGCCTCCCAGAGTGCTGGGATTACCGGGGTGAGACACTGTGCCCGCCTTAGAAGTTCTTAATATAGTAGGACTATTAACTCTTTGTGAAATAAATTGCAAATATTTTCTCCTAGTTCATCATTTGCATGGACCCATTTTTGAATTAGCTTCAGCTTGTGAATAACATGAATTCAACCTACATATGGCACAGACTGAGACTTCCTGTCTCACAGAGGACTCTGGGTTCTAGGTCAGCTCACACCCTGCTGCGACCGGGGCCGGGGGGCACAGATATATTGGATCCTGCTAGGTGCAGAAACTTGCCAAGCTTCTGCCTTTCCAGGGACAGCCCAGTTACAGCTCCGTGCCATGCAGACAGCCTGAAGGCTCACTCCCATCCCATGCAGACAGCCTGAAGGCTCACTCCCATCCCCGCGTGTGGATTAATCCCCCAGCTACCAAGATTTGTGTCTGATCCAGGTCCCCCTGGGGGCTGCCTGACTTCAGTGCCTGCCACCAGCTTTGGCTATGGGTTTTGTCTTCACCGCTGGCACCTGGAGATGTCCCTTCAATGTTTTTGACTTCAGCTGGCTGTAAAAAGTTTCTTTCAGATTGTTTTATGCAACATTTTTTACGTGTGGGAGCGCGGGGGGTTCCTGCCTCTGCGCCAGCGTGCCATTTCTGATGGAAGTGAGTACTAGGCCCTCTGTTCTCCCTAAAAGGATGTCGTAACTCATTGAGCTTTCATTGAGTACCTTTGGCAAGCTTGCACTTCCACTAGAGAAAGGCACTTCTTCCTAGCAGCGTCACTGTTTTTCCTCAAATCGGTGTAGCACAGAGAGATAAATATTCCTGACAAAGGTCATGGGAATAAGAGGGTAACTTATTTTAAAAGTCTCTGCTATATTTTTCTTAAATAATTTATCTGTGCCACTGCATTCTACCATACCTTGCCTTGGTTCACGATTTTCTGAGTGTGAGGTTTTACAGCCAGGTGTATTTGTAACTTGCACCCTAGGAATTTAGTTGACACATGGCCCGAGTAAGAGGTGCCCACGCGTGTCACGTCGTGCTGTTGAAAAGGGACGACGGGATAAAGAATCTGAAGTGACCCTGCACCTCCCGGTGCCCATCGCAGTAAAAGGCAAGCCAGGCCCAGACAGATGAGTGAGAGGGAGGAGAAGGGGGTGAAGGACAGCTGTGGCCTGCCCCCCACACCCCCCCCACCCCAGGCAGGACTGAGGACAGAAGCATGTCCAGTCCTCGGCAGCACTGGCCCCGGGATGCCTCGGGCAAGCTGTTGACAAACAGCAACACTGATGTCCGTGATTTTCCTCAATAGTTCTTCAATTTTGGTGCAAGTAAGCATTACACGTGAAGCTCGCTAAACCTTCAGATTCTTCCCTGGGTTCCAGCTGTAGACGCTGACGCTGCAGGTCGAGGGGAGGGCCAGCCATCTGAGTGTTTGCCGGAAGTTCCCACGGAACCCGCAGCGCCTGCCCCAGGCAATAGTCACCGTTCTGCACGTGGTTTTACAGAATTCGGTCTGCAGGGCTTCCACCTCATCACTTCTTAATTAGCGAGTGCCTCTGAGGAATATTTACAGTATGAAATATTTTTCCATAGGAAATCAAATTTCGCTTTGTTTAATTCCCCCCAGTTTCTCTCTTCCCTCTTCTCCATCATCTTTCCTCTTAGGGAAATCGGCAAGGATTCCACTAGGTCTCTGACGCAAGCTAAATATATTAAATCAATCTGTCTGCTGTTCACGAGGCTGACCTGAGGCAACCCGCTGGCTTTCCTTGTTAATCCGGCTTTATCCACAAATAGTCCATTCATCACCAGCAGCGTATCCAGGCCCTGGAGCTTAAGAAGAATCTGGTTACTTATGTGGGCAGCTGTCCCCTTCTCTGGCAACAGTACTTGGCTTAAACTTCATATAAAGAAATAAACCTTGCCGTGATCGTGTAGCGGTTACTTAAAAAAAAAATAGAGCTAAACCTACACACCCCACCTGCCGTACACGGTCACCTAGCGCAGGGCCTGGCAGGAGGGAGGAGCGAGAGGCTGGGGGACAAACGGTCAGCACAGTCACGGGCGTGTTGTGATGGGGACCCGGAAAGCCCGCGGGGACGCGACGGACCTGGGGATGACAGGCAAAGGACCTGGGAAACACTTACCCCCGCTGACATCGTACGACGTATTGATCTGAGTGTTGCTTATTGCTTGTGCTCCCCGTCTTCATCTGGTCCGGCCCTTTTTCCAGATGAGCACATCGAGGACTTGTCTGAAACCGCGTCGCTTGTCAGAGCATTTCCAGGCCTAGAACCCAGGTCTCCTGACATCCGGTCGATTGTCACAATATCAAAACGTCCTCCCGATCGGTCCCCACATTCCCGACCCGTCCAGGATGCGCGTCCTTGCAGTCTCTGGTTTCCATCTGCTAGAACCCGGCAGCCCGCCCCGCGCCGGCACACTCGGTGCATCAGCGAAGGGCCGCGCCCGGGCCGGTGACGGGGGAACCGGGGCAAGGAGGGCGGGGCCGGCAGCGGGCGGACACTTCCTGTGGCACCCGTGGGCCTTGTCCTCGCACGGACAGTGGGGGGTCTGGGCACCTTCTCCTGCCCGGCCCGCTCACAGGCTGCTTCTCCGTCGCCGTCCAGCCTTCAAGGCAGCGGCCCTGATCCAGAGGTGGTACCGGCGCTACGTGGCGCGCCTGGAGATGCGGCGCCGCTGCACCTGGAGCATCTTCCAGTCCATGGAGTACGCGGGGCAGCAGGACCACGTCAAGGTACGCGGGATGCGGGGCGGGGCCCGGGCGCCTGGGCCGCTCCCGGGTTCCCTTTTCCCTGGTCGCTGAAGCCCAGCGGCCTCGGGTTCTTCCGCAGCTCCACGACTTCTTCAGCTACCTCATGGATCACTTCACCCCCAGCAGCCACAACGAGAGTGAGTGTGAACCGCCGCACGGTCACGGACACGGGGTGGGGGCGGGGAGAACGGGGGGGGGCGAGCCCGGGAATCCCGTGACCACTGGGAACGGGGGAGGGGCCCACGAGTAAGAGGCAGAGTGGAATTTTATTCTGGGTTCTCCTCAACCGCACCTGGAAACGAGCGGGCGTGCAAGGAGTTAACTGCAGAGTGCGGGAAGCACGAGGAGGGGAGGATGGGACGGGGCTCAGGAAGAGAGTGCAAAACGCCGGGCTCTGGGAGGCACCCGTTGAAAGCCGAGGGGAGGGAAGGGCGGGAGGGCCGCTGATGCCCCAGCATTTCTGGCCCCGGTCCAGGCTGGAGACGGCTGGAAGTCGCTGAAGGGCACTGTGTCGCTGGGGGGCACCACAAGTGCCTGCAAACCGCCTTTCAACCTCGGCTTTGCCCTTCCCCCTGCTTGCAAACCTAGGCCTTTACATTTCTGTGCGTTCTAAGTCTGCCAAATGCAATTTTTATTGATAAAATACAAGCAGACTAGATACCAGCTAATGTTCTTATCGACCTGAAAACATAACCTTTTCCTCTGTGCATCCTGGTCTGCTGTCACTTTCCCTTTCCTCCCCCCGTCCTGTGCTGGAGCCGATGCCACACTGGCCAGGTCCCCTTCGACGGCAGCGCAGGGAAGGCTATTGTGCAGCGCCCACGGACTGCGTGTCCCATCACAAGCAGCCCCCCTTTTCTGTCGGGCTAGGGGACTTCCTGAGCCGCATGTTCACTGAAGAGAGATTCCCCCAGGACTCTGAGGCAGAGAGATGCTGCGACTACGAGTCCATAGAGGTACCCGACAGTTACGCGGGGCCACGCCTGTCCTTCCCCCTCCTCCCCGACCACGCGACTGCCCTGGTGGAAGCCTTCAGGCTGAAACAAGTAAGCTCACCTGGGGAACCCGGGTCACCCCCAACTCTGCGTGATGTGCAAAGGGAGGCCAAACCCAGCACAGAAAGGATGGCCCCAGATTTGGGGTGTTCATGTCATGTGTCCACTGGGGAGACGCCCCCTTCGCTCAGCCAGGACCTTGTGGTCCATCAGCCAGTTCCTATGATTGAAGCTTCTCCTCCTCATCACGTAATCGCTCCTGGTCACTCACCGCAGAATAATTACTGAGCACTGCTTTGCGCCCACGTTGCTCTGGGCACTGGGGACATGCAGTGAACAAGACAGACGCAGTCCCTGTCCTCGGGGCCCTGATGTCCTAGAGGGTAGACAGACAACAAATAACAAATAACAATAAGTCAATCGTATAGTATATTGTTGTTTGTTCGGTTGGGTTTTGTTTGTTTTTTGAGACAGGGTCTTGCCCTGTTGCCCGGGCTAGCGTGCAGTGAGGTCATCGTAGCCCACAGCAACCTCAAACTCCTGGGCTCAAATGATCCTCCTGCCTCGGCTTCCTGAGTAGCTGGGACATCCAGCACACATGGCTAATTTTTCTATTTTTTGTAGAGACAAGGTCTCACTATGTTGATTCAGGCTGATCTTGAACTCCTGGCCTCTAGTGATCCTCCAACCTTGGCCACCCAAAGTTCTAGGATTACAGGCGTGAGACACCATGTCCAGCCTATATAGTATATTAGAAGGTGCTAAGAGCCATGGCAAAGAATAAACTAACTTGTGGGTAGGAGAGATGGCCATTTTTTATTTTTTTTATTTTTTAGAGACAGGATCTCGCTGTGCCACCCAGGCTGGAATGCAGTGGTGCGATCCTAGCTCACTGCAGCCTCGAACTCCTGGGCTCAAGTGATTCTCCCAAGATGGCAGTCTTACAGAGGGGTCTGGGAATGATTTCTGAGCAAAGGTGGAAGGTGGTGAGGGATGCACCATGGGCACGTCCAGGGAAAGAGCAGTCCAGGCAGAGGAGGACCAAATGGAAAAACCCTGGGGCAGGAACTTGCCTGGACTGTTCGGAGGCCTCAGGAAGGCCCTTGTGGCTGGAGCGGAGAGAGCCAGGGGACCAGTAGCAGAGGTGAAAGAGATGAGGAAATATTGGACATCAGGCACTGGAATGATATAATCTGACTTGCTTTTTAAAATAGTCATTCTGGTAGCTGTGTTAAGAATAGATGTAGGGGCCAAGGGCCAAAGCCCGGAGACCAGGCAGCAGACTACTGCAACGGTCTGGGCGGCTTAAACCCTGGCGGCAGAGGCAGAGGTGGTGAGAAGCGGTCAGATTCTAGCTCTGTGTCAGAATCCAATCCTTCCCCTCTTTCACGTGAATATGACACCCTGCAGGAGGAGTTGGGATGGGGCATTGCAGTGATGACAAGATCGCTCAGTACTGTCAACATGCATGCACTTAGTGACACTTTGCCGAGACAATCATGTGTTCCTCTCAAGCCGAAGGCAAGCAAGGGTTTTATGGAGTAGATAGGAAAGAGACAAGCAGTTCAGCATCTGCAGGAGGGACAAGTGAAAAGCAAAAACAAGGGCAGAAGATGGGGAAAAAGACAGGATTCGTGCATGGAGTCCCAGGAGCAGTTTGCGAGGCTTCCTTTGGGGGTCTTGGGTGATTGGGGTCCCTAAGCAGGAAAGGTGCGAGCCAGCTTCTCTCACGGACATCAGTGTTGTTGTTTCCTCTCCTTCCTCTTCCTCCTAGTAGCAGCTCCATGCTCGCTATGTCTTGAACCTTTTGTATGAAACCAAGAAGCATCTGGTCCAGCTGCCAAACATCAACCGGGTCTCCACCTGCTACAGCGAGGAGATCACAGTGTGCGGTAAGAGCCGGTCGGAAACGCTTTCCACGCCGCGCGAAAACCAGAACGCTCTGCCCGTGCGGGGACGGGAGGAGACGCAGGCTGCTGGGACGCGTGGCAGCGATGTGGCCAGGCCACGTTTCACTCCTTCAAACTGACCACTCGCGTGTTCTCTCCACATCTGCTTAAAGGAGAGGCGCTGCAGCGAAGGGGACCCGCAGGCGAGGGCCCGGCCTCTGCTTTCTGTTCCCAAGCGATTCACCCAAACTCACACTCTCCATTCAGAGCCGAAATCCCCGCACACAGCCAGGCCTCCTTGTGAGAGGACAGTTTATTTGTTGGTACCTGAGCAAGCCCCAGCGACTAGCAAATTATACCTTCCTCTCCTGGAGAGCAGTCCTGTTAATGACGATTTCCTCTGTC